CGGCATGTGGGATCTTCCCGGACCGGGGCACGAACCCGTGTCCCCTGCATCGGCGGGCGGACCCTCAACCACTGCACCACCAGGGAAGCCCTTAACTTTCTTTTCAAAATTTCCTGTAGCTGACATATAAATTCTAGTTAGGGACAAAGTTACTTAAAAAAAAGAAAAAAGAATTCTAAAACCTAGTTTTTTAGTTGTTTGTTTGTAAGTTCCAGAATGATGCAGATGTAATAACACCTCACAATTATTTAGCACTTTTTAATTTCACTTTTAATAGCACTCTGACATTTAGAATTACATTTGATTATCAAAAATATTTTGCTAGGGAGGCCAGGTCTTATTATTTTCATTTAACAGGTGATGAAACTGAGGATCAAAAAAACTAAGTGATTAGCACAAAGTCACAATAGTCAGTGGCAGAGCTGGACTTGAAAGCAGGTCTCCAGAACCCAAGTCCAGTGCTGTTTCCATTCATTCAAGACTGACTGTGGTATAATCCAAGTAATCACCAAGAGGTAGAAACACAGAAATCGTAACCCCTCCTTACCTATGAAGATCAAGTTCCTGAATGACCCCCCCACCTAGGTAGGAGAGTTCAGCTGAGGAAGTTATAATTTTAGGAGGTGAAATAAAGGGCAGGGGAACTGAGGTCACGTAAACTTTTGAACGCCCTCATAAATATTTTTTTGCACAGTAAAACAATAACAGTACATTACATAAAAAGAATACCGAGAGTTTACAGAGCTTAAATTAGTAAACGTGATAGGCTCTGTAGAGTTTCCATTTAGATCTTGAGATGGTTTCCAGAGGTGATGAGGATGTATCACTCATTATGGCAGTGGAAAATGGGGGTGACAGTGAAGCAATGAACACAGGTGGACTGTTAGTCCAAATCATGGATCTTCGTGCTCTCAGAGTCTTCATCGAAGTCCAGTCCTGAGATTGTGACAACTTACTTGGGGCTTTAGCCCTACCGAGCAAGTGAAGTTAAGTGGCATGACTTAATGACTTTGGCTCTTCTGAAGATGCTGTCTTCTCAAGTCTTTTCTGAAGACAGCTTAGCACTTCTGTATAGAGCTCAAGTTAAACCATTTAAGTTTGTCTGAAGGCAGCTTATCTGCTGTCTGACATGGATACTTAAATGGCACGACTCAATGATTTAGGCTCCTCTGAGGTTGCTTTCTTCCGAACATGGTGTTGTAGAAAGACTCCACCTCTTTATAGAGTTCAATTAAATCATTCGAGCTTTGTACGATGGTAGTTTATCTGCTGTCCAGCAATGGTATTAAATGGCACCATCTGATGATTTAAGTTCTGTCGAAGATGGTTTCTGTCCAATGTGATTTCTTTTGGAGGGCGTAATGTCACCTCTTTACTGAATTCTGCCAAATCACTCAAGCTTTGAACACGTACGATTTGACATGTAAAGGTACCCATTTTTCCATTACTTTCTTGGGGAGGATTTAATCTTATTCTTAAACTTTTTCTCCTCTTGCTTATAATTGTATTTGCCTGCAGTGCCATAGCTTCCTAATTATCTTTATCATCACTTATGATAATCACCTCTGCAGTCCCAGGAGCTTCCTGAGTCATCCTCCAGCCCAGCACATCACGTGAATCAGCATCAACCAGTTCAGATTCAACTTCAGCCAATGACTGCTCCTGTGCCAAATGTTCACCCTCACCTACAGGTTCTGTTTCATCCAAAGACTTTTTGTCTTCAGGAGAAATCACTGAAAGATATTTCACCATCTCTAGCCAAATCTTCTCCCAGATCACATTAATGACAGGCTCTGTTAAACTATCTAATGCCAATTTTATGAAGAATACAGCATTGGTGATGGTGTGGGAATCCCATGCACTAGGATCTTCAGACAGAGGAAACTTTGTGAGATTCTGAACAACAAAGTTATACATTAGTTTGGCCTAAGTCTTCCTGAATGGCTGGATCAGACACCGACCTAAGGGGCTCCAGGACCTGAAACAAGCAACTGGTTCTGAAGACAACCTTAACATCAGGATGCACGTTGGCAAATGCTTCTGCGGCACCAAAAGGACAGTGAAGAATCAGTGGGGCTTTGAATTCAAGACTTTTTTTCTTGTAAGTAGTCTCGAGCTTCCGCAAGGAAGCACTGCTCAAACAATTCCTAAGGAGAGAGGGAGTCATCCAGGCTTTTCTCTTTGCACGCCAGTATACTGGCAACTTAGCTCGGATTTTCCTCTGAGAAGACGTGGGCCTAGTTTTCTGTAGAGTGGTAATGGTTTCACTATGAGGTCACCTGAAGTATTAGCACAAAACAGAAACATCAGCCTCTCTGTTTTGGCTGTGACCTCATGTCAGAATCAGCTGGCTCGTGTTCTTCAAAAGGGCAAACGGGATTGTTCAAGGGCTTCCAAAGCACAGCGGTCTCGACAGCAGCAAAGACTCGTGCAGGCACATAATCCCCCTCTTCAGTCGCTTTCTACAGTGGTGGCAGATACAACACAGGAGCTGCAGGATCAGGTGACTTGGTCTCTGGGTCATGGTGCACCATACATTTCTCAACCCTTGCTCCTGGCAATACTTTTTCTCGGGACCCACTTTGGTGCCTGAAAACATGTCTTCGAAAATTCTTCTTGCATGATGGCAGGTCCCTTGCATGGAAAGTGTTTTCTTATTCCTTTGCTTGTCTTCAATCCAGAGGTTTAACATCATTTCCATCTTTCCCATCCTTGGGTCACGAGGGATAAAGCATCTCTTGAGTGACACAGGTCTACAAGAGGTGATACTGGCCCTAATAAGAGTTTCAGCTTTCCTTATGGTACGAATTCTTTAATACCATATAAACGACCTACAAAGCTATCTGTTTTACCTTTGAGAAGATCAAGAGTGTCCCTTTTCTCTTCAAGAGACATCACCCCTCTTACCCTTTAGCAACTCTCTCTGGTGCCGGAGCCCTTGTACTTGGCTTTACTCTCTTCCGCCGCAATAGTCACGTTTATAGAAGCCATGTTTAAGCTTTATGCTAATTAATGCAACGCGACAATTACTTACTAGAGATTTTATATCTCCCAATGTTACAAAGTGTCAGCGTATGACATTTAAGGACCAACTGGTATTATGAACAACACAAGGATAAATGATAGTATATTGTTGGGATACTTGGTGCAAAAAGGGCTGATTGTGTAGGGGATGACTGGCAGAAGAATGGGAGAGGAAACAAATAGCTCAGAAGTTTCTTCCCACCTTGTGATATAGTCAGAGAGACAATAATGGGGCACTTGGACTGACTTCCGTATACTCAATTCAAAATTTTCATGGTTGTCAAAAAGGTATACGGAAGTAAATCCACCTATACTCAAATTCCCAATAAGGGCAACTTGCAGTTAGGAAGGGATTTACTATAAATTCTCCTTTAAGTTATCAGAAAGAAAGTCACTATTCATATATTTAAGACAGTACTGTTGCTACGATTTCCCTTGGCTTACCACTATGAATTCAAGGCTATGTGAAAGGCAAACACAGCCTAAGTGTATTTTCTGTAAAGCCACAGTAAGTCAATCAAACATTATCCTCTGACAAAATGCAACCTCTGAAGGTGTAGATGTAAAGGTCAGGCAGGCCCTGAACAGCCCATGCTCAAGAAATGACTACTTGAGAAAGAAAGTGACAATGAAAGAATAAACTAGCCCCTTTTCAATGCCCGGTCACTGATACTTTACTTTTATCCCCTCCTCCTGGGAAGATAGAGCGAAGCCTGGCTTTCTTATTCTTCTCTTCAGGGGCCATGGGAAGTGGTTTGGAGCTGTGGTTGAGTGCCGAAGAATCCCGGTTGTTACTATTCATCCTCAGTGGGGGAGCTGGGGGTTTCTCTTCATTATCCAGACCGTCAGACATTTTCAGTTACAACTGATTGCACAGCTCCTAAAGAAGAGGAGGAGAGAACAGGAGTTAAGGGAGTTCTAAAAGACAACCTGGTAAATATGGGGAGTCCAACATCTTAGAAACAAAAGCATTCATCTCATGTCATCTCAGGTTTGGCACTGACCATTCTGAGGGGTTTCTTTTCTAGAGGGAAGGGAGCTGCCTGCCTAAAACCCAATGATGCAATTTCCCAAAGAGGAAAGCGAAGGCAATAATGAATGGCTTTTCAATATGTAGACACAAACACCTAAGGTCCCTTCCTTTTCCCCCAGTGACGCTCGATATTTTCTGCTGTCCACTCAGTCTTTTAATGAACAATTTCCAATCTTTCTTCTTTAAAAATTCTATCCTCATGATCGTGGTCAGGTGGCACAACCTCCTTGGAGTCTGGAATTGACACAGGCCTGGCTGTTGATACTTAATGGCCCACAACAATCATCTGTTAGCTGCTTTGACATTGGGATGCCTTTGGCGCCTGATTCTTACCTGTGTGCACCTGATTAACAAAACGCCCTACTGTTTTATGAGAAAGAACTGAGAAACAATCTAGTAAACCTGGTAGTTTCAGCAGAGTTGGGGTGGACTTGCTAAGGGCAAACTCTCTGTAATTTCATCAAGTATTAACCGGCACTAATTTAGGAGTGTATGAGCTCTCCATACACAACTTGGCATATCACTTTATTCCAATAACATTTACTATTAACCAACCTAAGTACAACAACAACAAAAACAGGAGTCTCCTCATTACCTGCTACAATGAGAAATAATCTCCCTTAACTCTTTTCAGCCCTTCAGTGGTTACAATGTGTTTATTACTTTCAGTAATGAATTCTAAGTTACATTATGTTATGTGGAAATTTTTACTGTTTTAAATTTTCTCAAGTATATAGAGCCTGTACATATTCAAAAATAGCTGAGTATCAAGTAACAGTTTCTCCATCCGCACAGGTGACTGCCAACTAACAATGATTGGTTTGACCTTGGTGTGGACAAGAGATCTCTTTTCTTTTCCTTTGCCTAAGTGCCATGCCTTGCATTATCTTAATGAATTAAGACCAAATCTGTATTTTTGTTTCAGGAATCATGACAGTGAAAATATCAGTAGTAAATGTTTTGTCACCACCAGCTTGATTAAGTCTCATATTTTCCTATACGGGTGAAACTATAGCACAAGGTAAAATGAAAACCTAACTGTGCTGTCAAGGATCAATTATATTCATAGATACTGCTGGTAAATATATGAAATCAGTGCTAATGGGTCTACATTCCCTTTCACATTTGATTTGGGTCCTTCTAAATTCATTCTTTCTCCAGAAGACGAGTGAGTTTAAGACTGACTTCACCAGTGGTATTCTGTATCAGACGGGTTCATGGTTTTAATTTAGTCACTAAAAAGAATTTGCCACCAGAATAAAAGCACTATATATATATATATATATATATATATATATATATTTTGTGCGGTACGCGGGCCTCTCACTGCTGTGGCCCATCCCGTTGCTTCGGACGCGCAGGCTCAGCGGCCATGGCTCACGGGCCCAGCCGCTCCGCGGCATGTGGGATCTTCCCGGACCGGGGCACGAACCCGTGTCCCCTGAATCGGCAGGCGGACTCTCAACCACTGCGCCACCAGGGAAGCCCAAAAGCACTAATTTTTTCTCTGTGTGTGCTTTGTCTGTTTTACTTTTCTGGGTTCAAAAATAATGCCTGAATATGTGGTGATTATTAACCAAAGCTCAATATACAGAATCTAGGTTGGTAAAAATAATGAAGTTTGAAGGTTATTGCAAAAGAACTGAGGATTCTAGGTAATACCTAGAAAATAGTGAAAAATGTGTCTCAGGAAGAGAAAGCCACCACATTCTGGATGATACCTATTTTCTGAGGACGTGTTAGTTAACTTGCGATGACAGAAGTCAGAGAAACATACATACCCTCTTTAACATGATATACGAAGTTGACCTTACACAATAAGGCAAGTAGGAGTCTGAGCCAGTCAGGGTCCTAGTGCACCTACGTAATCCAAAACACTAGTCTCCTTTGTTCTGGATAATTAGGTGTGGGTAACAGTGGCCTTTTTTGTTCCTAAATATTCTCTCTGGGTAGAGACTCAAAAGGTAGATGCCCTGTTTCTTTTCAGGTCGGGAAAAAAGGGCTACTTGGGATATAAAATTCACACTATACTCTCCTATAGTAGACTAGAAATCCCTGCCCAGAATGTGAATACCACACACTTGCTGTGGTCCATATCACAGGCATTCTGCAAGGGACCCAGCTTGGATGGCACACCTTTCTACTGCCCAGCAAACTGGAAGTGGTTTCATTCCATTCAGCTTATCAGCGGATTATAAGAGGGGCTGGAATAAACCTCTTTTACAGAGATGTTGATGAAATTGAAGAATCTTTATCTACTTCCACAATAGGAACATGAAGCAAATAATCACTCCATTTACCTAGACATTTCAGATTTGGTTTTGCTCAAATTATCCTGATATTATGTCAGTTCTTCATGACTCTTTACAAGGCACAACCAATCTTCATCTTCTCACGATTCCAGATAATTCTGAGCTGGTGACAAAGGAATAGGGCTGGAGACTCTTGTTATCTGTAACTCTCCTTCAAAGCAAGTGCTTCAAAGCACACTTTTAGGTGACCGATGGAGAAAGGGTAGGGCCCTGTAAGGAAGCCTTGCTGTTAATGTGTTTGCTTCCCAAGTGGGAGGTGTCTCCGAGTATTCCACAAACGTAGGAAAAAAAGGGGGATTCTATTCTGTTATGTTTGTAAACAATGCCGATTTACTAAGCCACGGCCCTCCCCTGAGACAGCTTTCTACAAAGGATACTATTAATGGACTGCTGGTTCAATCTGCCTATGAGGTCATTATTTCCAAGATCTTGAAAGAGACTATTTTGTTTGGGGCGGCTGTAGGCTCTATTTCAAGAATTGTACAAAAGTGCCATTATTCTCCGGGAACCCAATCGAAAAACTGTTGATCTTTAAAGTTTAACTGTTGTCGTTCGCTTCTGCAACACAGCAGAAACTTGCAAGTGCAGGTCACGCTGGATCCAGCCACAGGCCATTTCATTTCACTTTTAGAATGTGGCTCTTAGCATTGAGGAGGAATCTGAATGGACAACCAGCAACAGTTTGTATCTGTTCACAAATTGCTTTCAGACTTGGCTACTAGGTTTTTCAGAGAGAATTCAAATGGCTTTTGTGGACAGTGTATTTTTTGTCCAGCCCTTGGGACTGAATGTGGCTTACCGATGCTCTGTAATTACAATTGAAATTCATCAGCAGTAAGAAATGAGCCTCTTGTCTCATGATAACCAAGAAGCCAGAACACCCCTCTTTCAGAGTACTAAGAAAGATTAATTCTCTATTTCCTTCCCTCCTTATCTCCCTTTTCTCTCGCTCTCTTCTCTACTCCCCACTCTCACCCCCCAAGTGCAAGGGCAGGCACGCACACACAGGTGCATACACACACACACACACACACACACACACACACACACACACACACACACACACACACACCCCTTCACTGAGTTGCCTTTTGACACAGAGATTTGCTGCAAAGTGCTTCAGAGGAAAACTTTTATCAAGATGCATGGCAACTTTAGATGAAATGATTAGGCATTATAAATAATTGTCATTATTCTCTCATTCTTCCAAAATGCATTCTCTTAATGTGGTGACAAACTAAACCCTCAGAGAATGTTCAGTAGGTTACAAAAGAAAGCCGCCAGCCTGCATGTTCCAGGAGTCAAGGGGAAAGACAGGTGCTCAAGTATGCTCTAGCTAATGTGGCCAAAATTCATATCATGGCATATGTGTTGAACTGGATACAGTCAAAAATGCCAATTGTGCCCATTTGCCACAGATGCTCTACCCAGGTGTGTGAAGGGTGAGACTCCAGAAATACTGGCCCTACAACTTGCGAAGATCACCTATTAAGCCATTAGCAACTGCACTAAATATTTTCATCAGATCTGGTGCCATCAGAGACAACCCATATGTCTGTATTATTCTGTCTGCTTTCAAAAATCTAAATAACTGTTTATTTGCATATTTTCCCAATGAGAGGCAAACTAATAATGGCCTCCTTTCAAAAACAAGAGCCCAGGCCGGCAGATGCACAGCCATGACCTAATAAACCCAGAGGTAAAGCTCCCAAACCACCAACCACACAAGGCCATTACTATAAACTGGTGAGCACATCAATATTGCTTATATCCCTGTCATATCAAACTAGAGGATCTAACACAGGAATGAGATGTAGCCCAGGGGGAATTTCCAGGGTGAACTTCCTAATGTTTCTGAGATACCTACATAAAGAATAGTGCTGGCGGGCTTCCCTGGTGGCGCAGTGGTTGGGAGTCCGCCTGCCCATGCAGAGGACGCGGGTTCGTGCCTCGGTCTGGGAAGATCCCACATGCCGCGGAGCGGCTAGTCCGGTGAGCCATGGCCGCTGAGCCTGCGCGTCCGGAGCCTCTGCTCCGCAAAGGAAGAGGCCACAACAGTGAGAGGCCCACGTACAAAAAAAAAAAGAGCACTGTCAACCAATTTAATTTAATTGATATTTATAGAATACTCCATTCATTAAGGGCAGAGTACACAGTCTTCTCAAGTTCAGTTGGAATAGTCATCACAATAGACCACTTTCAAAGCCATAAAACACACTTTCAAAAACTTCAATGTAATTCATACATAATATGTTCTCAGACTACAATGGAATTAAGCGAAAAAAAAAAAAAAAAAAAAAAAAAAAAAGAATAGGGTTGGCTGCAAGACACCTAGAGCTGATGAGATGACAGCTAAACTGACAAGAGCACACATGAAATAAGACTGATTTTAGGATCTCAAAAATGTAGTAAACAAGTCAACGAACTCTCACTATGTTTAGACATTAACAGAACATGAGAGCGTTTCAAATTTCTAGAATTGGGTAAATCTTTATAACAAGAATTAGCTCTACAGATCAAGAAAGAGTGAACTTT